CTTTCAAAGCCGTTTTCTGAGTTTGAGCAAAGTTATTCCATATGTGTAGACAATTTCAGTTTGTGCCATCTTGGGTGCAAAAAGTGAAAGCACTGTGGGTAAGGAGTTTTGATATTTAGATTCTTTTCTTAGAATTATTGCTCATTTGTTGAATGACTTTGGAGGTGTCAGTGTCTTTGTAAGTGAAGGGAAGGATTGGACTAGTCGGGGAGTTGTGAGACCATCTCCTAAGTATCTACAGAGGCATTGTGAGGTTTTCCTTGTGAGATGGAAGTGGTCTCTGGGTGAGGATCTGGAACCCTCTCCCTTTCCCTCCCTAATTTTTAATCAGAGCAGTTCTGATGTGATCCATTACCGATTGCAACTTTCATGCTACCTCATTTGAACAAAAAATGTTGCTACTTAAAGAAGGCTGAAAAATGGGGTCAGCTTGGTGGTGTAGTGGTCAAGTTCACGTGCTCTGCTTCAGTGGCCCGGGGTTCGCAGGTTCGGATCCTGGGCGGGGACCTACACACTGCTCATCAAGCCATGCTGTGGCGGCATCCCACATACAAAATATAGAGGGAGACTGGCACAGATGTTAGCTCAGGGACAATCTTCCTTAAGCAAAAAGAGGAAGATTGGCAACAGATGTTAGCTCAGGGCCAATCTTCCTTACCAAAGGAAAAAAAAAAAGGCTGAAAGGAACTGTTTTGTGGAAATACTTTGATTCTAAGTTTAAGGGCCATGTGGTTATATGAGGTCCACTGGACACACACATAGAGTACTTAGGATATTGACCTGTGCCTGGTGGGCATGCAGGGAACGTTTGAAAATTATTTCCAGTCCATCAGACATTCTCAAAGGTGCCTGTTAAGCCTGAGTGAGCTTGCAATGCTGTGTAGGGACGGGCTGTGTTCAAACACCAGTTCCTCCATCAACTGGTTTATGTGACTGCACAAGTTATGTAATCTCTGAAAAGCAGCAAATCTATAGATAATAGTATGAGTACGAGTCCCACAGTCCCTTATCCACAATTCCAAAATCCAGAAGCTTTGAAAAATAGGTTTTGTGAATGAATTAGATGCAAAATCTGACCTGAATATAGATAAGACTATTAATAGTTTTATGTCTCCCACTTAAGGCGATATGTGTCACTGAAGAAATACTAGGTTATAGGCTGCTGCCCCAGATGCCATTGGGGAATTATCTGCATCACAGTACTTTCTGGCAGGTAGGTCGTCTGGGTAGCTGAGGCTGATAGGAGTTAAGAGGGCAAGAGGGTTACTGGGGATAACTCCTGTGAAAAATAAAAGGGGGAGGAAGCAAGATCCCACAAGGAAAATCTTTAGGACGTCTTGCAGAGCTGACGGCTGCGAAAGGACTGGAGGAGGAAGGAGTGGGCAGAGGGAGCCTTAGACCACATTGCAGAGCAGAACAGGGAGTTCTGGAGCCGAGATGCCCAGTAAAGGGGGCTGGTGTCAGCAGAATTAGCCAGGTCCCTGCGCTCACTGGGCCCTTGGCTGGGGACTCACCGCCCAGCGGGAGCGTGGCCTTGCCTTGAAAGCTGAGGTGGGACTTTGAGTGCTAAAGGCTAGAGCTGGAGGCTGTCAGCTAACTGTACTCAATACAGCTGAGCAGAAGGTTCTTTCTTAAAGTGAGAGCCAAGAAGTACAGCTCCATGGTTGGCACATAGATTTTTTTTTTTTAAAACAGCTTTATTGATGTATAATTTATGCAACATAAAATTTACTCATTGAAAGGGTACAGCTCAATGATTTTACTAAATGTATACAGATGTACAATCAAAACCACAGTCCAGTTTTCAAATATTTCCATCACCCCAAAATGTCTGCTGTTGATGCCCATTCCTACCCCCAGCAGCAGGAAACCATTGATCAGTGTTCTGCCTCTATGGTTTCTTCTCTAGAAACTTTATCTAAATGGAATTACACAGTATGTAGTCTTTTGAGTCTGGCTTCTTTCATTTATCATGATGTGGGGGATGACCCAGGTTGTCGCATATATCAGTATTTTGTTGTTTTCTGTGGCTGAGTAGCAATCCGCGGTACGGATGGACCACATTTTGTCTATCCATTAATCAGTTGATGGATTGCATCCAGTTTTTGGCTGTTGTGAATAATGTTGCTGTGAACGTTTGTCTACAAGTCCTTGTGTAGACACGTTTTCATTTCTCTTGGGTACATACCTAGGAGTGAAGTTGCTGGGTCATGTGGTAAGTGTATGGTTAAATTTTAAAAGAAAGTGCCAAATAGATTTCAGAGTGGCTGTATCATTCCACAGTCATACCAGCTATGTGTGAGTGTTCTAATTTCTCCACATGCTGGTCAACTCTTGGTATTGTCAAAATTGTTGGTTATACCCACTTCAGAGGGTGGGTAGTGGTATCTCATTGTGCTTTAAATTTGCATTTCTCTAATGACTAATGCTGAGCATCTTTTCATGTGTTTATTAATCATTGCTGTATGTTCCTGTGTGAACTATCTTTTGCTCATTCTTTATCTTATTAATGAATAGATGTTCTTTACATGGTCTGGACACAAGTCCTTTATCAGATACAGTTTGCAAATATTGTCTCCTAGTCTGTGGCTTGTATTTTCATTTTCTTAATGGTTTCTTTTGAAGAGCAAAAGTTTAACTTGAATAAATTGAGGTACAATTTATTTTTTTGTGAATTGTACCTTTAGTATCATATCTAAGAAATCTTTGCCTAACCTAAAGTCAGAAAGATTTTCTGCTATGTTTTCTTCTAGACTTTTTATAATTTTAGTTCTCACATTAGGTGTCAGCTGGGAACAGTTTTGCTCTCCAGGAGACATCGTGGATTGTCACAAGTGGGTGGGGTATGCTACTGGCATCTAATAGGTAGAGGCCAGAGATGGTTCTAAACATAATACAATGCACAGGGCAGCCCCCCACAGCAAAGAATTATCTTGTCCAAAATGTCAATAGTGCTGAGGCTGAGAGATCCTGAGTTAAGTTTCTAGTCCATTTTGAGTTAATTTTGCTTATGGTGTGAGGTAAGGATCTACACACATTTCTTTTCTTTTTGCACGTGAGGTAAGGATATAAGTGCATTTTTTTCTTTCTCATTTTTTTCCTTTTTTCCAGGACCATTTGTTTTAAAGATTATCCTACTGCATTGAATTGCCTTGGCACCTTTGTTGAAAATCAACTGACTATAAATATGAGAATTTATACCTAGATTCTCTGTTCTGTTCCCTTGATCTATATTCTGTCTTTATGCTAAAACCACACTTCTTGATTGCAGTAGTTTTATAGTAAGTTTTGAAATCAGGTAGTGTAAATCCTCCAACTTTGTTCTTTTCCTAAAAAATTGTTTTGTCCACTCAAGTTTCTTTGCATTTTCATATAAATTTTAGCATCAACTTTTAAAATTCTATAAAAAAGCCACCTGGGATGTTGATTATTACATTGAATCTATAGATCAACTTGAGGAGAAATGCCATCTTATCAATATTGACTCTTCTAATCCATGAACCTCGTTTATTTCTCCTTTAATTTCTCTCAGCAATGTTTTGTAGGTTTCAGTGTTCAGGTCTTATACTTCTTTTGTTAAATTTATTCCTATTAAGTTTATTTTTAGATGCTATTGTAAATGGAATTGTATTCTTAATTTTATTTTTTAATTGTTTATCAATAGTTTATAGAAATACAATTCAGTTAGTTTTGTATATTTATTTTGTATCCTGTAATCTTACTAAACTTGCTTATTCTTTGATTCTTTATAATTTTCTACACATAGTATCATGTGATCTGAGAATAGTTTTACGTCTTCATTTCCAATCCGTATGCCTTTAATTCCTTTTTCTTGCCTTCTCTGGGTAGAATCTTCAATACAATATTCAATAGAAATGGTAAGAGCCACATACCTTTCAAAATTTAAAAAAAATCAGAATTCTGAGGGACTTTCAGCCCTACGTGTTTTGGGTAAGGGATTGCAGACCCGTAGTAACTAACTTTTAGGATTGTTGGGAGGATTAAATGAGGTACCACATATAAAATGCTTAGTGTAATGCCTGGCACAAATCAGTGTCCTTATAAAATGATAGCATTTAGGAAGAGAATCATGATTGGCCACTGGCAGGCCAGCATCAGGAACCAGAACTTAGCACTGAGGATGTAGGCCTGGGTGGGCAGACAGCATGGATGGCACTCTATGGCCAATGTGGGGGTGGTGGGGATGGCAAGTTCTTTGTGGCTTGTCCCCAACAGGAATCAGCACAATTTCTGTCGGCCTCCTCAGGAGTTTTTGGTGTTGTGGGAGCTCTGCCAAAGTACCTGAGCTTCAAAATAGCTAAGCCCAGGATGCTAGTGGATATAGTGAAACAGGGTTTCCAACATGGAAGGAATAGACTTAGGCCTGCTGAGTTGCACTGAGATTCAACTGTTGCTGGGGCATGAGTCTTATAATACACTATATTAAAACTAAGAGAAAACCCTTCATTACTTCCATGTGCATTGCTACCTCCTTTTTCGAAGGTATTCTAGAAGTTGACCCATTATATTTGTTGAGGTAGGAATAACAGCTGAGAGGAGTAAGAGTGGAACAACATGGAGAGGGAACAGTATCATGAGGAAGCCTTAGTGGCACCTTCAACCTTGATGGGATTCAGCGTTTCTCTCCTTTAGAAGTTGACCAGTCAGCGTGTCTATGATTCAGCCCCACTGCCAATTTTCTCTCCAGGACAGCAGGCATCATGGAGGCCAATGGCGGCCGTGATCTCCTGCTGGCAATGCTCTCCTCACCATAAACTAAGCTTCCAGAAGTAGGCCTGCTCTAATGGCACTAATTACCAGTAATTGTGCTCGCCACACCTTCCTCATTAAGTTCCTTGGGAAGAATCTCAGGTACATAAAAAGTAACCCCAATAGTTGATCAGTATCCTTCATGTCTAGTATATGATACGCTAATAAAGATCTTCGAGTCTAACCAAGAGACTTAGGGGGTTCTTCGATTGTTCTCAGCAATAAAACAATTTAAATTAATTCCTACTCTTTATTTCACAGTATGGTGCTTCAATGACAAAGGTTCTGTGACCTTTTAATTATGATCGTTAACTAAGATACAAAGACTGCATTGTCTAGAAAAGGCAGTAGGGCTGGTCAGGGCTTCTCTGAAACACACATTCAGACATCACAAAGTCACACAAAGGAGCTTCTTTATACGAAACCCACAACACCCACAGGGCAAACGTGATGATATAGAAAGGCTTCCTTTTTATGTCAGTTCCTTCTCCTCACAGTTTTGTTTCTCACTTGACTGTCCAAAGACAACTTTGCCAGCTGTCTGCAGCAGCCACGTGTTGAGTGACACGACACCGTCACTGCAGCAACAGGTAGTTTTCAGAGGCACAGACCTTGTGCTGAGTGATCGAATCTGGAGAGAGAGAAAAGCAGTTTAGCATTCATGAGGGCCAGCCACACACTAAAATAATAACCCTTAATATAGACACAAAATCATATTGTAAAATCCTAAATGGTCTAGAGCTGCATTGTCCATATTTTCCCATGTCCATACAGCACATGTGGCTATTTAAAGTAAAACAAAATAAAATAACATAGAATGAAATAAAGAATTCAGTTCCTCAGTTACACAAGCCACATTTCAAGTGCTCAACAGCCACATGTCCTATTAGATATAGCACACACAGGGCATTCCCATCATGGCAGAACATCCTAGTAGACAGGCTGGAAAGTTTCCCTTGTACCAGAGTATTTGCTGTAGCTAACTGACACGGGTCTCCCATGTCATGGACTGGCAGAGTGCAAATAAATATATAAGTAAGTTTTAGTTATGACAGTAACGACGCATTCTAGGTCATGCCATCCTATCTCCCTAGCTGAGTATTTGATATAGAGTACAAAGTTAGTAAGCACACTTTCTAAAAGTCAGGTCTTCATATTTTGGTAGAAGAAGCTCGACTAGCGAGCTGTAAAGTCCTGTCAGTTTAAAACTTGTTTATTTATGAGAATCACAAGAAGTCACCAGGTCCAGGATAAGCTCCGGGTGCAGGTGAACAGGCCAGCACAAGTGCGCTCCGTAGCCGGCTCGAAGCAACCCCTTCACTCTTTCCTTCATACTGGAAAGTTGACCGCTCCCAACCCTACTTCTACTATTAGGATGAACGGGGAAGGCAGTGGATTGTCTGCACTGATTGAATCACAAATTAAGTTTAATTTAACTTACGGATTACCATTATTATCCAGAGGGATGGACAAATTATATTTGAAGGACCTAAGAAGTCATGATGATCAGCAATAGAAGATGGAAAGCTATGATGGCTGTGAGGTACAAAGAAGAAATAATGGGTTTATTCTGTGATTATAGGAAAAAAAAAATGAAAGAAAAACTGGCTCATCTTAGTGGTAGCTCAAAATAGTTTCCAGAATGTAATCGTAGCCTTCCCAACACAAATGCACTCCCATGGGGGTCTGAGCTCGACCTTTTCTTTTCCTTTCTTTTTCAATATTGCTAGGATTTTGACTCTAAGTTTTTTTTCCTGAAAGAACCTTTTTTACTCTCAAAGAACTTTTTTTCTTTGCTTCAATTTTGTTAATATTTGGTATTATCTTTATTATTTCTTTCCTCCTACATTCTTCTGTATTATTTGTTGCTACATATTCATTCATCTGCAAGCACCAAAATTTGAGAAAAATTGATTAAAAAAAATAATTTAACCCAATAACTTTTTTCTCATCCTGCAAATCGGGAAAAGCTTCTTGTTATTTCACTTGGAGGTGGAACACTTCACTCCCAGTCTGGCTTGTGGGGTGTCAGTCCTTGTAGGGCTCAGTTTGAGAACACTATAGTTAGTGATTGCACAGATGAAGAGATGTTTCACTTACTGAGAGGAGATTAAGATCTGACTTTTTACAAAGGAAGACTCTGAACCGAGAGGCAGGTGACCAGGAACTCTGGGTCTTTCATTCACCATGTGGTTCTGGCCAAGAAATTCAGATCCCTCAGTTTCCTCTTCTATAAAAGGAACAGATTTCTACCGACGATCTCAGAATTCATTTTGAGCAGTGTTAGTCTGCTTGGACTGCCATAACAAAACACCACAGACTGGGGGGCTTACACAACAGAAATGTATTTCCTCACAGTTCTGGAGGCTGGAAGCCCAAGACCAAGATGTCGGAAGGTTTGGTTTCACCTGAGGCCTCTCCTTGGCATGTGGATGGCCATCTTCTATGTCCTCATGTGGCCTTTCCTCTGTGCCCACAACCCTGGTGTCTCTTCCTCTTCTTATGAGGACACCAGTCCTATTGAATGAGGGCCCCACCCATATGACCTCATTTAACTTCCATCACCTCTTTAAAGGCCCTATCTCCAAATGCCGTCCCATTCTAAGGGACTGGGGATGTGGACTTCAACAGATGAATGTAGGGACACAATTCTGTCCTAACATGAGCTCTATCACTTCATGTTCTATGATGTCAACATTAACTGCCCAACATGCAACAACAACAACTGAAGAACTAAGTTCAACAGCTTCTGGAGACACAGGAAATCTCTCTCTCACAGTCATAACCCAAAGCGTTAATATACCAGGTCAACAAGCAAAGATGCCAAGACTCCCGGCAACAGACCATTAGGAGAAGGCAGAGCTTTAAAGTTTCCTTTCCGTCCATTAGCCCTAAGCCCTCGGAGACGCGGGGCTGTGGTCAAACACTTGCACATCGCACTCCCCCCATATCCCCCCCGGCCCCCTGAGCAGGGGAGCTTTTGCAGAGGGCTTTGAACCTGTAAAGTCTTGTTAACCTGTCGCAACCAAAATGCTCAGCACTGGCCTGTAAGTGGCCAGTTTGACTCCCCAAACTGACAACGACATTTCTAGAGATGGATATAAAATGTTGCCTCGTTTATAATAGTCCTCATTCTGAGTTGAATCTGCAGCTGATTGTTTTGTCCTTTTTTTTTTAAGTGAGGCTTGAGGACCAGGCGTGGCTGGTCAGGTGCAGAGAAGGGTCTTTATTTCCCAGTTTGTGTGCTGGTCTTTAATATGCTATTTACCCTTCACATCACTGATGGCGCTCACACCCAGCGACGAGTTCGGCTGGTGTAAATTTAACAAAGGGGAACCCAGGGAGACAGGTTAGGAAATCTCAGAGAGAACCATCTGGGACCACTAGATGACCAATGAACACAATTACAGGGAGAGCTTAGAAATGCACTTTCTGAGCATACTCTTTCCACATCTTTTCAAGGCTCTAGCAGCTAGCAGTTAATTAAAAAAACCCACTAATGATATTTTTTTAAAAAGCCTAAACACATAAGATATTGAAAGTATAAAATCGCGCGAATCAGTTTTAGTTCTCCTTCCTTTCCATTCTGGCAGATTTCATCCCCTTTGAGAACAGCTCAAAACAAAAATAATTCATCTTATTGCCTGAAATTGCATCTTAAAATTCTGCAGTCACCGTCTGAATGGTTGCTGAGCTCCTGGGTAAGGCTGCCTGGGCGAGGATGAAATCCGGCAGTGTTCTCAGGAGGGGAGCAGGCTCTGAGCAGGCCCACCTCCCAGTTCTCCTTTCTCCTCTTCTTTCCATCCCCAGCAACTGGCCTCACCTCCCTGTGAGGAGCTCCTTATCTACTCAATGAAAATGTGGGCTGAGACAATCTTGAAGAACCGTGACAGTTTCTATTGAATCATGAAACCCTGAGGTCTGAGGCCTCCGGAGTGGCCTTGCTTTAACAAAATGCACATTTAAGAGCATGCATTTTTCTGGGCGGAGTTCTCGGTCAGCCATCAGGGGAAACAATGACCTATGTTAGCATGCACAGGGCCCACACGCTATCAGCGATCTTTTTCCTGAAAACAGCGACATAGGGAGACATTCAAATCAAATGCTTTTTATAAGTTATAAGGAAATCATGCCGAGGCTAAACTTTTTTTTTTTGGCAACGCTGTTGAGAATATTACATTATGTTCCCACAATAGCATAAAATGTATGTCTTATCACTTCAACATAGCCCAGACAATAAAAGGGCGCCCGAGACTGGAAATATGTCTTATGAGAAAGGCCAAACCAACCTTAAGTGATAACACCAACGCAGGATAAAAGAGCGAACAGCAATGATTAAAGCACGAAAAGTCACAGACCCGCGATGAACGGCATAGAGCCCCCAGCCCCTCGCAGCTCTCACTTCTGGCACCAAGTCACTTCAGACCCCAGGGTCTTAGTTTCTTGACATAAAATGGGAATTCTATGGGCCTGCTGGGGGAAATGAAATTACTGGAAAATGCTCTCAAATATAGCATGCATTACCAACATCAGGTAAAGGTAACATTTTGCTTCCTAGTGCCGGGAATTTGATTTTTGTTTTCCTGTTTATTTTCATAATATTCAAGAGCCCGCAGTGTTTTCTCTCAGAAAATCCCCATTTCTCCTTCTGGTTGAATGACTCATCAAGAATCTTGGCCTAAGGATCCTGCTGTTTCAGGGAAAAAAGGCTCTGGGGACTGAATCGGGAACATAATCACGACCATTCAAACAGCCTCGTTATAAGGCAGCTCGGCTGTGTATGAGATTCTCCTGGAGCAAATGAGTAAGACGAGGCTTAAGTTTCACATGGGGAGCCCCGTTTGGAGGTTTCATAAGTTCACACCGTTTCATGCCAGCAACATGAGGCAGTCAGTAGGGTAAGCTGGCTGGATGCTAAATGGACACCCCAGAGGCTGTGTCTCCCGGAGAAAGAGCTAGAGGTTAGAAGGAATTCTTAGGACTAGAATACCCACTTAACAGTCCTTTTCATATGCATAAACGTTGGGTCATTGTTTTTAAGATACAGACGGTGAAGGGATAAATGGCTTATCTGATCTGATGGATTATGGGCTAGGATGTCAGAGGTCCTGGGGAAAGAGACCTTTTTTTAGTCATGCCCACCATCCCCTCTGCCAGAAATATAAAGAAAAGAAAAAGGAACTTCTTAGAGGTTTCTAACAAAAAAAAATCTGCTTGTCCATCCCCTTTGACTTTATTATGTCTGCAAAAACAAAGACTCGATAAAATATAGGAATAAATATGAAAGGACTAAAACAACCCTGGAAGTTTTACTTTGGAAGGTAAATTACAAATCTGAAAGTGGATACAACAAGCTACTTTTAATACTTTTCACTGCTTTATTCAAACTGCTCTTAAGTCTTAGGGACTCTACCTCACACAGCAGCTGATATTCCAGTTGGAACACATTTAATTTATAAATTTTGAATACTGCTTTTCATAATTTATCACAACATAACTCATTTTCTTTTAAATTGGTGCTTTAACATGGTTTTGTTTTTAGTTGAAAAGTGGTTTTGTTCCTAATTTTAATTTCACAACATTTTGAGAATAAAATATTCCCTAGAACTATTTATAATGGAAGCTAATGGGAAGGAGAAAGGTCTTCAAAAGAGAAAATGTTGCTTTGTCAAAGAGTCAGGAATGCCTACTCTACAGGCCAGTGGATACTGTCACCCGATGATATTGGACAATGCCCATGGTAGATGTAAGATATTTTATACTGTTTTCCCCTTTGATCAGCATATGTAGTAAGCAGGGCAGAGGTTATTACTCTGTTTTACAGATGAAGTAAATTAGGTCCAGAGAAAATAGATGATTTGCCTCTGGTCAGAGAACAAGCTAGCGGCAGAGCCTTGACGGGCAGAAAATGCAACGCTCTGGACTGTATGTTTTGTACGTCCATGCATGTGTATAGAGACATAAAAATGAAACCTCCTTTATTTATAAAAGCTGCAGCTATGCTATTGTAACTCAGTTCAGAAAGAGAAGAATATACACTAAGAAACATTTGAAAAACACATGTTCTAACACCCAAGTGACCAGGCTGGCGAGGACGCAGCGCAGACAGGGGCAGTGGCCAGAGAGTCAGGAGGCTCATCTTCTGGGTGAGGATTTCACCACGTGGAGAGCCAAGGAGGCCAGAACACAATACCCGGATGTTGCCAAGGGCACACACAGATGGTGTAATCAATGACAAATCAGAAACAGGACATGAATTATGGGAGAGGAAAGAAACAGAAACAGGTCCACAGCTCCAGCTCTGAAACTCAAAGAATTCCGGAGGGCCTTGTGAAAATTAATCCCTGGGGGCCAGCAGGTAGACGGTCGCCTCCTAAAGACCCACCAGCAGTAGAGCTGAGCAGCAAAACAACCAAAGGAACTGGGCAGGCGGCTGAACTGTGCTGATCTGCGCACAGAAATGCATGAGCGACAGGAAGGGGCCGACAGAGTTCCCCAACCTGGAAATAATAAGAGCGCAGACCCAGACTTCGGCCCTCTGCACACTACATGATTGGCAAACTTTGAAAAGATTAGCTGTTGATATCAATCATTTGCACAGTTCCGTTTGCTGAATGAGATATCTTTTTTTAAAAGCACAATTCTGGTCCCCAGTCGGTGTCATTTTGATACATGCACTTTTCTAAAAAACAAAACAAGAACCTCTGTTTCAGAACATAGGATGTTTTGAAGGTTATATTCTTGGCATTTAGAAAAGAGTAAACAGCCTCTTGGCTTTTGGACTGGAGCTAAAATCGTAGTCTTTTTTTGAAGTTAGTTTCCAGGGAAAAGATAAATTACTCTGCGCCAGATAGTAAAAAATTACTTTTGATTGCCATACTTTTAAAATACATGAGAGGGTGATCATCAGTCATTTAAACGATGCTCATAAAATGCCTGTAGTTATATATGAAAGCAACTTGGACAAATACCGTACCTACTTATCTGTTAAAGGATAAAGTCTAGGAAGCGGTGAGGAAAGCCAGAAGTTTGGGATTCAGAGACGGGGGAGGGAAATAGGAGGAAGACTGAAAAAGAAACAGGGGGCTGGGAGGAGGGAGAGAGAGAATGCACTTCTCAAGTCTCAAGAGGCCAGGTAAGGATCGTGGCCAAAGGTGCCGAAACTGGAATAATTCACTGTTATGGGTTGAACTGTGTGCCCTCATAATCCGTATGTTGAAGCCCTACCTCCCAGTACCACAGAATGTGACTGTTTGGAAATAGGGCCTTTAGAGGTAATAAATTAAAATGAGGTCATTAGGGAGGGCCCCAATCCACTATGACTGGTGTCCTTACAAGAAGAAGAGATTAGGACAGATGCACACACCAAGGGACGGCCATGTGAGGACACAGGGAGAAGACAGCCGTCTACACGCCAAAGAGAGAGGCCCCAGGAGAAACCAACCCTGCTGGTACTTTGATCTGCGATGTCCCCCTCCAGGACCGTGAGGAATGAATTCCTGTGGTTTAAGCCCAGTCTGTGGTCCTTTGTTACAGCAGCCCTAGCAGAATAACATGTTCATCAAAACCCAGTGGAGGGAGAAGTCAAGTTTACCCCCAAAGTGGAGCCCCAAGTTCATTCCACCACGTGCGACTATCACAGCACAAATACTGCCCCTCCCCTCTCCCCTGTACCCCTCCTCACGGCTGTCCTTGCTGCCTGGGGTCCCGCCTCACAGTCGTCTTAGCCCACTCCTCCTGGTGGCCCCTACAGATCTCTCAGAGTTGGGTAACAGGCAAAACTTGCTTGTCACCACAATGGCAGCCTCCAGCCTCCTACAGATAACGGCTTATCCCTACCACCTCTTGCCCTGCTGAATCCAGCAGAGTGTTTGGCACAATGTACGCTGAGTTGATGCCAGACATGTACATCACATTCACAGTACGCTTGCTTTTTGAAATAAAAGCCAGAGCTCCTTTTGCACTAAAGGCAACCACTTTGAGCACAAGAACAAACGAGTTATCAGGAGAGGTGCACACGAGGAAGGAGTGACGGAGCCTGGGTGGTGGGTCGTGGCAGCCGGGCGCTGGCTGCAGAGCGAGGCAGGCCCTCGGGGAGAGAGAGTGTAAGAGCTGCGGGTGGGTGGCCTGTGTTGTGGCCCTAAGATTGGGGCCCCTTTGTGTAGACTGGTTCTTGCACACTCGCTAGTGAGGTTAAGTCTCACAGGAGCTCCTTTGTCCTCGTGAACTACACTCCGACCCACAGTAAAAAGCAGGCATGTCTAGGTCGGCTTGTGACGTATAATAATTACAGGCCTCTGTTAAAGCAGAGGCGTGGACGCTCAGATGTCCATCCAAAGGCTCCAGGCTGCATGCAAGGGGCCGTGGGGACGATGCTTCCCCTGGAGAAACCTGTCCATGTCGCCCAGACCCCATAACAGCGGCTCTAAAGGGGATGCCCAATGGCTACTGCAATCAGAAGACGCCTTCCTCGTCCATCCCCACGTGTCCCCTATATGACCCATGGCTGTTCCTGGGTGCAGACTCCTACCTAAGATCCATGCTTCCGACAGATACTTGATTGTCGCCTTCCTCTTTCCTTGGGAGGGTCCGATGAAAATGCCAGCATGGCGAGGGATGCGCGTGATCCGACCCCCACACAGGAGGACCAGTTCCCACAGCTTGGTTCTGGGAGGCTTGCTGGCTGGGCTGATGAACATCATCGGCTGATCGGCAAACAGGGTTCCCTGGTCCTGCCCCGCAGACAAATGGCGCTCCAGGCGGCACAGCTGTGGGGCAAAGACAGAGGGAGGGTTAGGGCAGCACTGAGCCGTCTCATTATTCAGCAAAGGTCAACAGTGAAGCTCACTCTCTTTTGGGAGAACAACAGAACCTAAGGTTGCCTTGTGTCAGATGAATTTTTGAATTCTGAGGACCCAGGGGAGATAATGACATTTAATGATAATGACAGATAATGAGCAGCTAAAATGGACATTTTCTGAAGCAGCCTACGAGCAAAACAAATTTATAGGCAAAAATGTCTAGGGCTTTGAATTAAGATAAATTCTAAGCCAAAATATGGAAAGTAATCAACTGTTCAGTGGAGTGAGGAGGGCTGCATCTGCGGCCCATGAATCCTGTGGAAGTGATGGGGTGACCTGTGGAAGGGGAGCAGGAGCCCCACACGGCACCAGCCGACTGCACGAGAGTAGCTGCTGTTGTGAACAGTGGTCCCATCCACGGTGCTTCAGGGGCCCCGGCGGCAATGGACTTTCACGGGACCTAAAACATGCTCTAAATCCAGCCCCACAGTTTAAATGGGCAAAGAGAGAACGGGGCAGAACAAAGCAGAATTCCTATAGCTGTTCCCCAACACATCAGGTGGGGGGAGGCGAGCGTCCAGAGGTTACTTCAGTGAGTCACTGTGGAAATGGTGATGAGGAGAATCTAGACAGTGGGAAACATTGCAGAAAGAGGGATGTAAATTGCGCTTTTTATTCTGATGAAGTTGTGGTTGTCTGGCTGGCCCAAGGGACAGTGGGAAGGCCGAGTTATTCTAAACACACATTTCACTAACTACAAAGACTTCTTTTTAAGTGAAATACCCTCTGGGAGATGTTGAGGGTTAACTGTCATCCACATGTTGAGTATTTTAATCCCCTTATTTCCCTGAGGATCGAATTGAACATTTGAGATCAGTGGCTCAGAGAAATTAGGGATGTTGGTGGAATTATGTGGGAAAAGAGATCAAGGTGCTTCTCAGAGGAGGGTGTCCTGGGCCGGGGGGCGGTGGAGGGAACCCCCCATCAGCAGAGGGCCACGCATGGAGAGGGGCTGACGGTGGAGGAGGGGAGGCAGCAAAGAAGACATTCTTCAGTCTACATCTCTGACAAAATCAGAGAAAGAATGAACTGTTCTTCCACTGGGTTTTCATAACACTGTCGTTTTTAAGAAGAGAGGATCTTACTATAAAAAAACAGCTCCAACGTTAACGGAATCGACCCAATACACTTAAATAGGGCCATGGAATTAATTCTCTTTTCTCATTGCCAGTTTTGAATTTTGCAGTGTAAGACGTCGCATGTGACAGCTTTCATCTGATTGGGGAGGCGGCAGCAGGATCCCAGTGATGCACATGGCGATGCTACTCGCGCGGTAACTTTGTTACTGTGTTTAGTGACTTCCGCTATCCCTCTGAGATCGGGAGTGGAAAGGCTTTCATTTAATTTTGCAGATGAAGACACAGGTGGAAGCCTGCCAGGAGATCTGCTGTGGCTAAATGACGAGTCAAGCTGGAAGAAAACACCCACAATCCATAAAGTCGGTGAATTGCTGGACCATGTTACACTGAAACTGGAGATCAAGAAAGACTCTTACTAAGGTTGGATATAACCACACATTTAAAAAACTAATTATAAAAGTGGTTGATAACTGAAACAATACATAAGGGCATAAAGTAAAAAGTCAATTTTCCTATGTTAGATCCTGCTGTCTGTTCCTCAAATCCACTCCCGTCTTTTTCTCCTTAATGGCAGGGCATCGTCTTCTTTTGGGTGCTCACCTCTGCAGGGCCTGTGTTCAAGATAGGGGAGTCTTCCCAGCCCAAAGGGAAGACTCAGGATTGGGCCAAGCTAATCACAGCGATCTCATTTCCCTTGCAAAGGACTGGGTTAGGCATGGGTTGGGCCTGAGAATAAGTCTGCTGGGGGCAGCTCTTCCTCACTAACATAAACTGATGCAGAAGCAAAAAGACTTCCCTTATTTGCTGGACTCTGTCACGTCAACACAGGATACATGGAGCCACCTGAAGCCATGGGACATGCTGAAAATGACCAAGTGGGAAGATGGGAAGGCCTGGGTCCTAGATAACGTTTCTAAGTCACTGGACTGACCAAACTAGGAATTGTCCTTCTTTTGTCCTTCTTATGTCAGGGGAAAAAAAAAATCTTAATTCTTGAAGCTTCTTTTTCGTTAAGATTTTTGTTTCCAGAAGCCCAAAGCATTCAGATGCCTCAGTTCTCACACCCCCCCGCCACTTACCAGAGGTAACCCCGGTTAAGAGTTTGCTGTGTATTTTTCTAAATTCTGTGCAACGGCCACACACACAAACACATATATTTAGGATACAGATTTTCTTAACAACAAAAGTGAGATCAAGGATGTTTGCTGGTATACCGATAAGCAGTAAATCAAGCCCATTTTTAATCCAGGAGAAAAGGACAAATGTAAACCTTTCAAATGTTTACAATGTGACTTCAGTAGCTAATTTCTTTGATTCTTCATTTTTCTTCCTCCCACGTTAATTGAATGCTTACTGTCTGCCAGGCACATGCAAGGTGCTGGGGAAGCAAAGGCGATTAAGACATAGTCCCTGACCTCACACGTAATACAAAAGTCAACAAATGAAAATGCTTCCTTGTATTTACTTATTCAGCTTGAAATCAGAGGAGGCAAAGAATTACAAAGATCTGATTCTTCACTCAAAATAATTGAGACTACATGCATGCTGACTTTCCAATCCTAAGTAAAATAACTTCTGGGAAAGCATAATCAAGATTTAAGTTACTCAAAATTAAAAGTTAATTTGGGAATTTATCCTACAAATACACTCCCTGATGTATATTAGGACATGCATGTATAGGAGTGTGTTGCCATAGAAACGAAGGTGATTGGCAGGCTTTATTTATATTACAAATATAATAGGACACATGATTCTGCTCATTACTGAGTTGCTTCAGTTAAACTCATTCCAGCAAGCGGAAGGTCTTACGAATGTCATCCTTTCCCAATCCTCCCTGAGGACAGACCACCTTTGTTATTCATCTCAGTCCCCCCAGGGCTTTCACATCTCAGGTCCTCGTGATGATGAGATGGGTCTATACACACAAGGACCAATGCAGCCTCACCCCCGGAGACCACACTCTGCCTCTGAAGGCACAGATCATAAGATTGCTTTGCGACTGTAGGATGTGACATTGCCTTAATAATTCTGACCATGGCTAGTCAACTTTCCTCTCTAGCAAAGCACCATTTTGTCCCCACTGGTACATTTTTAAAAATAAATTGAGAATTATAAGGCTGCAAGCAGCACAAAAAGTTTAACAGAGCAGCTGAGAATGCTGAGTGTGCCCGATGGTGCCCTCTGCTTCTGCCACCAGCAGGCCTTACCCCGAAGGGCTACCTTTTACTTCAAGATCTAGGAGAAAAGCTTCAAATGCACAAATTTTAACGTCAACTTGCTGTTGATTATTTTCATTGCCTTCTCAATCCCTAGTATAATAGCAATTCACAGCAATTTGCTCTAAATCCTAATTTCATTTCAAACTCATCAAAACACACACAGACACAACAAATGCTGCCAATCACCAGAAAAAGGCATCTGGGTGGGGCATGCAGGCATTATTACAGGGCAGTGGAGGGCACAGGAGCAGATTGCAGGGGTGATGGTGGTGTGTTATTTCTGTTCTTTCCTCAAAGATGACCTCAGAGATAACCAGGTTTATCTACACTGACCTAGAAGTTTCTAGCTAAAAATGGCTAAAATATAATTTTTAAAAAATCATAACTCATATAGGTGTTATCTAAGATGTGTTCATTTTATTTGACTCTGACAGATGCTGTAACTGGGTCAAAGGAGAATTAACACATTTATGGGTATGAATATTGAAATGAACTTGCAAATGGACGAAAACATCGGCTTTTCTGTGGAGGAGGAGGATATTCCCTCCACTGGACAGAATTTATTTCATGTCCACAGACAAAAATTGTTTGCATTGCCAGCAGGATTTACAATTTACAGAGTTGTGAAACAGCTCAAAGGCAATGAAAGCTGGAATCAGACAACCTGGGAGGATGTGCACAGTCTGAAAAAGCAGAGTTTTTCAATGAAGCACAGCTTTTCCTACAGAGTCCAGGATGTCTGATGTTTAAAAGAAATCATGGAAGGAAAGGGGATTAAGTGGCATTTACTGGACTCTTCTAGGCTTAAGTAGCCTCCAAATTAAACAGGACAGGTCAGTAGTCAGGGTGAATTTTGGGTGAAGTTCAGAAGAGTTCCCACTTTTCTCTGTGAATGCTGACATAAAATAATCATTATATATACATATATATGTTTGGATGTATAAGTATGCATATTTATGTATATATATATAAAAGACAAGGAGGCAGCTGACCGAAGGTAGAAATCTTTCTCTGCCCTGAGCTCTTCATTTGAACCCTTGTTTGTAAAGGATTAGGACATTGCTGAAGGGTCTAAGTTACTGAAGGCCAAAGAGACATTAGCTTTGCTTTATAAAATGTTGCCTTTGCATCTGTGTCCTCGTCAAGCAAGCTATACTGATTTAATAGGTTTTAGCTCAGGTGCTTCCAGTCTATCTTGTCAGTCAAGGCGGACCACACTGTTTACAAAGGTAAGCAGTGCAGAACTCCCCCCAATGCTTCCAGCCTCAGTGACTCCCAGTTATTTACCCCGACGAGGGTGGACACCCCACAGGGGAGGGTGTTGACGGTTCATTTACTCCAGACACGGGTGTTAGATTTCAATTAGCAAATTTCTTTTCCCTCAGGAAGAGCTCACCCTGACTATTACTCTCCAACCCACTGATAGTTTCTAGAGGTACTTTGGAGCCATATGCAGCAGAGGAGGTACAAGTCCTCACTATGGAATTCTCAAGGCCAACTATTCCACGTTTGAGGAACCTGGAGCTCAGGGAGGTTGGTTCACCTGAGATCACACACCACTAAATAGTAATGTCAGGTTCTGAACAAAGGGTGTCGGGCCCCAACGTCC